AAAAAAGGAAAAAAAAAAAAAAAAAAAAGAAAAAAAAAAGTATAAACTATTACCATTCCTGTCCAAATTCTTGACTCCTAGCTTTGTTAGGTCATATTTTGATTTTCCTTTGGCTAACGCGTTCCTACCCTACTGCTGCAATGCCAAGTCCAATATAAATAGCAAGTCTATTAAACTTAATGAGTGCTTTAATCACTTCTTGTGCCTGCATTTTCCTCCCTTCCAGCAGCACCTCCTCACCGCACACGTGAGCACTCGGTGCCCTCTCCAGCCCAGGAGATCGCTGAGCGAAGCTGTTCTCTGAGCCAGAGGCGGAGCAGCTCTGGCCCGGAGGCCGCTCGGTGCAGCCCAGCAGGAGGTGCCGGTGCCGGTGCCGGTGCCGGTGCCGGTGCCGGTGCCGGTCCAGTCGGGCGGGTCCCCGCAGTCCCCATCAGCCGGAGCGAGCGGCGCTCCCTGCAAGAGCCAGCGGTCCCCACAGCCCCGCTCCTGCCACGCAGGGACTCAGCTGCCTGACTTGGACCGTTCCAGTCGGGAATCCTATGGCTGATTCCTGTAGATATAAAAAGGAAGGGATTTGAAGTCTTATAATTACCAAGGAAGCATTTAAGTGATATTTCAGACTAAATTCCACTAATTAAATGCCACTTAAAGAGATAATAATCTCTGCTATAATTGACGTTTCTGAAGACAGATGGGCGGTCTTCAGAATTACAGTTCTCATCATGTTTTCTACATTAAAAGGATCCCATTTTAGACCAAAATCCAATACCTGTGCTTCCCTCCCTCCACTCCAGCATGGCTTTGTCTCTTTTTGATCCAGTTCTGCACTAAGACATTACTAGCTTAGGTGCAGTTGGTTTAGAAATACTTCACAACCTCATGTACCTCCCAGAGAAAATTTTGAGACAGAATGATTCAGCCTCTACCTGCATCAGTAACTTCCTCTAACCTCATTCCTTATAGTAAAATAATTCACTAGACTCAAATTTAGACTTCAAATAATCTTAGCTGCAAGAAAACAATTTCTGTTTAAATGACCTGTGCATTTTGTATTTTGCATGCTGCCATCATCTTGCTTTATGCTTCCACATTTGAGACCTGTTCTCCAAATGTGGCCTTACAGAATCATTATGTTATAATATTAGTCCTATTATGCTATAATATTACTTCTGATGTGAGGTCCTAATGGGAATGTCACTTAGAGAACAATAATATTATTTTGGTGCTCTTAACCAAACATATTATTTTCTAGTTTATTTGCTTAAACTGCCAACTGTTTTCTCCCTCTCCCACACACATTTCTATGATGCCAAGAGAAATATTTATGTTATAAAAATTATTTGAAGACTAAGCTACACTTCTCTTTTTGGCTTACAAAATAAAAAGCAAACATTATGCTAAGATTTATGTTCTAAATTAAACTTTGGAGAGAAAAAGATATTTGCACCTTCCTGAATTATATTTCCCTGTTTATGTCCAGAAGATACCACCGTGAACAGACACAGCTCTTCTTTTCTTTTTTTCTTTTACAATTTCTGGAGAAGGAGAAGAGTTATCAAGCACATTTATTTCAATGCAAGGCAAATGACAAGTAAATTTCTCATTACTCTGTCTCAGCTTTGCCTTGTGACACCTATTGTAAAGCCTTGCTCTGAGACAAGACTTCACTGTTTTTTATCCAGGTTGTAAAAAGCCAAGTTATGGGTGGTGAGAAAGGGAAGAACCACTGCCAAGGACTGGATTAAACCACCAAGGTTGTTTTTAACCAAGCAAATGCCATAGCTCAAAGTGTCTTGTCTGACTCTGACAGTCACTAGTTCACCAAGCATTCATTTCAGTATTTTTCAGTAATATGTGAACATTCCCCTTTGGCTATTGGCTAAAAGCAAACTTACCCATCCTTCCCAGGCTTTTTTTTTTAAAAAAAAAGCTTTGCAGGCTTTTTAGCTTTCCTTTAAATACTATGAGCAGTATGTGTGTATATATATATATAAAACAGATACATGTGATAATATATGTGTGTGTATATATAGTCTGTGTATAGATACGTATTTCAGAGATGCTTTCCACAAAATTAGTTTTCATAGTGACAGCATCCAGAAAAGGGAGGAAAAACTATGAACTAGCCCTTCTTGGGAAAGATGAGAATAAAAATATGCACAGCCTAGAACTGCATTACAACTCATACCAAAAGCAACGCGGTACTCTCCACGTTTATTGAAGCAGGTGGGAACTGCACAGTCTAGAGATCAAGACACATTTTTTCCACGCATCCAGTGGAAGTAAAAACTTATCCCGTGCTGACCTCCTGTGGTACATAAAGAATCTGCAGTCGCCAAAAATAGTAGCCAGAAGTCAACAGCATGGCGAGGTCGGAGAAATGCTGGTCCTCCAGTCCCAGGCTGGGAACACAATGAGCACGTCCCAGAGGACACACGTCCCACACTCCTTTAAACTTTGGTGTTTAATCCTTAAGTGTACAAAATCCTACATCTTACCCAATACTTAACATGGTGAATTTATCAGGTAAAAACAGCTCCTAAATTTGAGAAGGATTGATCTAAATTCCTTGCAAAGAAATACGAGCAGCTTTAGCTCAGAATCTTGTCCTTCATCCTTGCAGGTTAGAGCTGTGTTTGCATTATCACCAACACTGAGTTATCTCACTGTGCACAAGGCACAGAGCATCCCTCTCTCAGTACCTGTGGTTGAGAGCATTTGACTAATTAATCTGTGGAAGGCCAAGTCCTTTGTTCTGATACCTTTGCTGTTGTTCCATTCCCCACCAGCACGGTGCACACACAGCTCTCACAGGGAGGTGATACACATGCTCTGCATCTCAATATTCACTCCTCTAAGAGCTTGCTCATGTCATTCAAATCACTCATTCCATTTAGGGTTCAGAGGATCAGGAAATGTGTCAGTAAGTGGGAACCATGTTTAACACTATCCCTCAGTAGTGAGCCCATTTAAGGTCACAGGAAGCAGATACTAGTAGCTCTACCAGGAGTGAACTAAAGCCTGAGGGCCAGGACAAGAACAGGATTATCATGTTCTCACCCCACTCTGAAGTTCAGTTGCACTAGGTACCCTTTCATTTTGGTACACCTAAGCCTGTCCCACTAGGCCTGTTTCCCCCTCCCTGGGATGCACCCCAGCTACTCTCCAGATGATGCAGGGCATTCCCTCCCCTCACAGACACAAGGCTCTCTCTAACAGTGCCCATACAAGTGTTCAGTAAAAAGCAGGCTCTGAGTCCTACCTCAGAGGAAGGAACAAATTTATTCCTGCAGCCTTGCTCTTTTGTCATTGGCAGAAGCACCATGTATAAAGCAGGCCTTCCCAGTGCACCCTCTGAAACCAGAGCACATTGAGGATGCCTTCATCTTCCCACACAGCTGGAACTGCTACTCAAACACAAACACAAACTCCTTTCTAGCTGCAGATCCTGTGCTTTAAAGTCCCACCCCCTCACAGTGAGCAAGCAAGCCACCCCCAGAAATCACTGCCAGATATGCTTTTAAGTCTTTTTCAAGCCATCAACACACCTTCTAGCCATCATAGAGGAGAAACTGGCCCTTTATTTTTGCTTCTCATTATTTCTCCCCTCTTCTGTGCTCTGGTATCTATCAGCATCACTGCTGTTACTTCCCGTCATGCCTGCGGTGTGAAGTCAGTGAAGTGGTGACTCACATAACCAAGTTTAGCCCGAGTTTTTAGCCAGGGCTGACCAGGCTTTCTACAATGCTGTAGTGCAGAGATTTCTGCTTGAACACTCAAATGACATCCTCTTTAGAAAAGGGCTGGTTCCTTCCTTCTGGCCACAGAACTCTTGACCTATGAAGCCAAACAGGATACAGAAAAAGGGAAGGAAGGAGGAAGGAAAATGTTTTTTACTTCCGCAGCTTTGGTAGAAGCCAGAAATTTTCAAAAAACATTTTCAAAATCCCACTCACAGGCTGCTTCTTTCTTGGGTTCTCCTTTCTTTAAATGTTTGTATTTTCCCCCAGAAGGGTGGTGAGAGGTTTTGGCATTTCAGGCTGAACTTAGACCATTTGGCTCACTATATGAGCTGATTTTCTGTGTTCCTCCCTCTGCTGGCTCTGTTGCTTCCCAAAGTCAGCAGCAAAATGAGAAGTGCAATCCCTCACCGAAGATGTTTCGTATTTAGAACCTACACTTGACAAAGACATACCCTGCACTGCTACCAGACATGTGGAGAGAGGCAGAGCGGGTATGGTGTCAGGGCAGTGGAACTAGAAAGCTATCAGAGGAAAGCAAGATGAAAGTGGAACGGAAATGAACTGAGTGAGTGATAAAATAATTCTGTTATATAGGAGCAAGCCAGAAGGATCAAAGGATCTCTTTTATTTGCATTTTATCCTCATTTCTGTTCCTTGCCATTTCCTTCCTCTGCTGTATATTATTATCACCTCTATTATAAAACTTTCTGGTTGCTTGCAATTATTCCCCCTTTAATCTCGTGCTAGGCTCTTCCTCTTTGATCCATGCCTTCTTGCCATATGACTGATTGTGTGACTGCTGCATATATATGTAAAAACATGCATTTATTTCAACTTCATTTCCCCATCATGTCTCCAGTTAAGTTGCATGTCCTTTCTCCTACCTCAGTTAGGCTTGATTCAGCTACCAGCAAAAATGTTGCAAATGGAAAGTTCCTTCTAATGTCTTCATTTTATTTTTGCACAAGTTACAGTTACAATTTTATACAATAAAAGAACACAATCTACAGAGAGGAATGTCTAAGTATGCTCTTCATGGAAAGGCTAAGCAGAGTTCAATAAAGAGATAAACCTGTGGCTGGCAGACCCTCAATTCTTTCTCTCTTTTTTTAACTTCTGAATAAAAACACCTTTGTTTTTTCTGTTCACTCCCTTGCCTCCCTCCTACCAGCCTCGCCTCTCCTGGGACCCATGCTTCCCCTGTCCCTGCAGACCAGGCTTGGTGGCAGGGCTGAAGCATTCCCTGAGATGACAGGGAGTTGAGCAGAATAGTCAGAAATGTCAGAATAGAGCAGAGTCAGCTGGAGAGTCAATAGGGAAGATGCTCCTTCTCCCAAGGACAAGCCAGGGTTGCCTTCTCTGGTGGGAAGCAGGAGGCAAAGCAGAGCTGCCCAGCCCAGCCTGGCCCCATCCCTCTGTAGAGGGAGGGCAGCTCCCACATGCCTCTCTCTCACAGGGCTGACACCAGGCAAGAACACCTGAAGCCCTATGCACCTTTTCTCTCCTTCTTACTGGTTTTAAGTAATATTATATAACTGTAGTAAATCCTTTGAGTGTATGAAACACACTGGCCCTGGATGACAAGAAAATCTTATCTTCAATCTTCTTCTCTAAAGGAAGCACTAAAGGAACGGCCTGGATAGCCTGAAATAGTCAACCACATGTATGTATTCTATACTTATGAATGTGGTAAGGAGTGTCAAAAAATACTAAACTCCACAAAATATTTAAGAAGCTTTGTAGCATGAATATTGTTGATTAAACCTCTCAGTTTTAAAAGAGACACAGAATATGATAGAAAAATTCTTCTTTTCCTTGTTCACTGAATTCCTGACAAGGACCTACAAATAAGCACCCCAAGAGCTCAGGGGGTAAAGGAGCCACTGAAAGGAGCCACAAAAAGGAACTAGGAGAGCATCTAAGCTGTAATTTTCATTCTGGCTTACATTAATCTTCTGTGAAGCAACATATCTTCTAGAAAAATCAAGCTTATATCCTCTGTGAGCATCTGGTCCAGACGAGCAACATGGGAGCAACCCCATGTTGTCCTCACCATCCCCTTCCTTGTGAAGAAGAGAGTTATTTGAGATTCCAGAAGATCAACAAGTGATCATTTTGTTTTCCTTCATGTGAGTTTTGTGCTAATAAGCACTGAACAAAGCATCTGCAGAGATGAGTGATAAAATTAATTTAAGTTTCTTAGCTTTAAGAGGCAGCACTGCCTCTCTGGAATTAAGTGGGACTGTGGTTGTTTCTTATATTGCTCTGTATTCAAATAAATCCACCACTACTTACACAAGATGCAGCACCTCATTATTTTGTATTCTTAGATCACAGCACAACCTTGAATATTTTTCCACTGCCAGCCTCACAGGTTACACTGCAGACACACAAATGATTTGCATGTTGTTGCGTTAGAAAAGAGACCTCGGGATGTTGCTACCTCCCATCCTTCTCTTCCACTATTCTCCTCAACACACCATCACATCTCAGGTGATGCAGCTTAGCCTTCTCTCTCTTTTAAAATCTTTAACAACTGTGAGTTAATTGATGTCCCCTGTGTTCCCTGGTGTTCAATTACAATCAATCACACAAACCCCACCCTCCAGCCCTAGTCATTAATTATATTTCCCTCTTAGGAATATACTTCATATTTTGTTGAAGATTCTAACATCAAGAGCAAGAAACTGGATCTTGCTCTGCAGAACTGGAAAGCCCTGCACTAAAACACCTTTGGCAGCTTTAAGTGTCAACACCTACTCACCACGTTGCATTTCAACCTTCTCTTTAGTAAGGTGCATTAGTCAGACTCCTGAAATAAGTGCCTTCAGGGCTTATTTTCTGTTCTTGTGGTTCTCCTTTGAACTCAAGCCAGCCTGTGCCTTCCCAAAACATTAACAACTGTGGTAATAAATACATCTGATAAGAGTTCACAGAACATTAACATCAGCAGGCCAACAAATGGCTACCAAGTGTTGGAGAGCGTTACGTGCTGGGGATATATCACAGACGGGGGAGGCTCTTTAAGACCTCCAAAGGGCAGTTGCCCTCCTGGGGAGTGTGGATGGGCACAGCTGACATGAATTGACTCACAGGGCTGCATGTCCCAGCCTCAAAGACTTCAAAAGCTTCTAGTTTAGGAGAGGAATATATTGTTTGTCTTGGTGAATCAAGTTTCTTATTGATTGACCAGAGAGAAAGCAAGCCTAACTGACTCTGATTTGGTTGCTTTATTTTTGCTGGGTAATGGTGTTCTGATTTCCCAGGCTTTAAGACAGAAATAGGGTTTTATGTGCATGGCTACTGAAATAACAGTGGTAACAGTTATATTATATGAGTGGTCAGTCTGTTAGTTCACAGTGTGAACAAGAAGATGCAGACAGATGATGGGGCTGAAGCCAAAATTTGCAGAACACTGATGTAATGTGTGCACACATGTAGTCTTTGTCTGGTGTGGTGATGTGCTTGACACCCACAGAGGTGATGTGCTTGACACCCACAGAGGAGAGGCAGATAGGTTAGGGGTACTTTCTGCTGTTGGTCCCATGAGATGTGGCCTCTGGGGTTCTCTGCTTAGCCTGCACTGTATTGCCAGTGCAACGCAGAAGGGCTCTCTCAGGTCGTTCTGGCAGTTTGGATATCTTGGGGTGTCGGAACTTCCCAGGCAGCCTCCTGCCACCAGGAGCCCCAAGTTGTTGGGGTGTCGGAACTTCCCAGGCAGCCTCCTGCCACCAGGAGCCCCAAGTTGTGAACCATTAGCAGAGTTTTGACTTGAGTTTTGATGTTTTTCTCTTCTGATCTTAAGGTGTGATCCAGAGTGTTTGGTGCTTGTTTCATCAGGAATCAGGTTTCAGAAGCAGATGTAAGAGCTTTTCTTTTCTCATAGATTAAAGACTCAAGGCTATGCTTGGTCTTTTCAGATGCTGTTTGTGTTTCATCAGATACACAAAGGCTATCCACTGTCTTCTTGCTGAACTGTGTCTTAATCACCCAACAAACTACATGGCAAGCTCTAGTGGGAAGTGAATTGTGTACTGTGTCTAGTTAAATCTGCAGAGGGGATACAGACAAATCTAGTGTAATTATCCAAGCTGGAAGCTGGACAGAGCTCGAGTCTATAACTCCTTGTTACTTTAGGTTTCATCAGGGAGAAGGGGAGAGTGTGCAGGCAACAGCAATGCCTCTGTCCAGAAAGGAGGCTCTGCAGTGTGTACTGTTCACTTGCTGACTTCAAACACTGTGTCAGAGCACAGGTACAAAGGCTGTGGGAGAGAAGGATGCATGTGGACTTCAGAGGAAACACTTGGCTACCATAGCTCTTTAGACAGACAGATGGGAAGAATTACTGAATTCTCATTGTAGGGATCTTAACTGCAGGTGTCACTGGAAATTCAGTGCAGCTGTCCTAAGGCACAGGCAAAGACAAATTGAACAAGTGATATCTCTGAGGTACAAACAGCAGTGAGGTTCTCTGAACAGGAACTGACATTTCTCATGACATGTGACAGAAAATGAAAATAGAGGTTTTATATGGTGAAAGCCGCGATATTGAGGACTTCTGCTTCAATTTCACCCATCATTTCTCTGCCATTTAGTCTATTTTTGACTAATTTGGCTTCTTGTAACTTCTGAATAGTGATGTTCAACGTCAGCCCTTCTTCTGAGACTTTATTTTTATTCTCAGCTGACAATTTGTGGCCAAGCTGATTTTGCTCTTTCACAATGGAGCACTTTTGCTTGTACTGCAGATAGTACTCAGTGACTGGAGGGGATTATCAACAGTGGGAAGAATCAAGTTGGAAGTGACATTTCTGTCCAGGAAAACTATGGTAGACATGAATTCAATTTATAGTAGTACTGTTCAGTAAACATTTAAATACATTCTTTCCTAACCAAAACTTTGAAGAGTTGAATCTGGGTGTCTTTAGTCTACATTAAGGTCCATAAACAAGGGGATAATTGAAAAACATATCACATTTTGTAGCTACTTTAGAACTTGCACCAAAACAAATTTTTATAGGAAAATGCAACTGTGAAAAAGTTGACTCTTTTTTTTCCCTAGAAGAATGAACTATTTGATCAACAATTTCATCATCTTATATCAAACATATCTTGCTGGAAAACACAAGAAACAAGTTGGTTCTTACCATGGTAGGGTTTTTTTCCCCTCCACTGCATTCTATTCTCTGGCTGGAATGGGGCACAAGGAGAACTGTGACAGTGTTGAGTGGATATAAATCCCAAGGACTGAAAAGCAGTAAAACCACCTGTGAGTATACATCTCCATGTGAAACAAAGCCAAAATGAACTTGTTTGAATTGGAAGATTTCAAAATTAAACTTTCCACATGAGAACTTTGCTACATATTTCACTAGGGGGTTTGGGGTAATTTTTTTCAGTTTCCATCCTGAACACAAGACAAAAACATTGTACTGAAATACTAGAACTGAAAGTGTTCCAGTTACTTGTTCAGCACAGTGAAGACCAGCATGCATGCAAAGCATTTCTGAGGATATCAGAATCTTGGCCCAGCAGGTTACAGCAAGCAGAGAATTTTGTGTTTCAAACTGAGCAAACAACTATCTTTGAGGACAGGTCACCAGACATTTTAAGTTTCTGTTTTTAAATCAAAAACTAGGTCTTTTTAAAATCTGCCAAAGGTGTCTGGTGGCAACTTCTTTGATCAGTCCCTGATCAAACACAATTTGAAGTGTTAAATTAAGTCTAGATGGGAGACGATGTATGGTGTTAGGGAGAAAGTGATGGTGCAGATAAAGAGGACTAGGGTTAGATGTCCAAGGTGCCTATCTTGTTTGTTCAGGTAATCACAATTATTATGCTGAGAACACTTCTCTTCATCACTTTTGCCATTCATATGAATGTAATTCACATCTTAGTACAGTGAATTTTCGATTCTCTGTTTGCTTAGGAGGAGAAGGAGGCACCCTTTTTGGCCCTGCTTTTTGAAAGGCTGGTGCTTGTTGGCCTGCTGTAAAGACAAACTTCTGAGTCCTTCTAATGTGCTTCATTATATCTTAAAAGCTGGATCCTGCTTTTGGCACAAGATGAGGTAGACGACTGAAAAATGGGCTTGTAGTGACAGCAGCCACAGGGAAGGTACAGACAAATGATAGGACAGTCTGTGCTCAAGAGCTCTGCTTAGATGCAGTGGAGATGTTTTAAGCTGGTAACAATTCCTGCTTCTTTGATCTGTCAATGTACAGTTGAGGGAAATGCAAGAAGAGAGGCTTCAAAACTGGAAGCATTCTAATGTAGTAATTTCTAAAATATCTTAAAATTATCTGAGAGATATGATCAGACCCAGAAGGGTAAAGGGCTAGAAGGCAGTGGACAGCTAACAAGCACCTTGTGTGGAGTAAAGGGGAGAGAGAGGAGAAACTTTCCAAGGGGGTACAGGTGAAGGAGGGAAAGACATCAAAACCTTTGACTTAGATGACAATGTCACTCAGTAGGGTGGAAGCCAAGTTTTTTTAAGGGTCTGGCTGACAAACTCTGTAAAGAACTGCCAGAAAACACAGCACTGTAACATAGGCACACAAGTGCTTTGCTGAAAGGTTCTTTCTGATGGTTTGGTTTTTTTCTTTCTTCAGCCATTCTGTACTATCCTTAGCCATCTTCTGTATCTGTTGGCTACACTGCTGTGCATTGTAGTCTATCCCTTTACCATGTTCAGGCTGTCTGTCCTTGCCACTCCCTTTCACAAGGCATGAGACTCCACAGAAAGAGTTTAACAAGTTTGGTCCACTGGCCTTTTAAAAGAGGGATGGGAGAGATTGCTACTATCTAAAATGTTCCAAGGGGCTGGTGGCTTGGCCCCACAATGTAAAGGAGTGTTATTTCTGTAAAGGAAGAAGGAATCGACTCAGGTCTGAAAGGCAAGAAGTCATCAAATAAACAAGATAAACAAAGCACAACTATCATTCTTCTTTCAATTCAGTGCTTAATACACTAATTTCACCATACAAAATACAAGCTGCTGCAAGTACCCAGGAATTAAGAAAAAGGACAAATGGGTGTTTTCTTTTGGAAGTGGTTTTCATATGAAGTTACAAAGATGAAATGCATTTCTAGCTACTGATTGTCTTTAAAACTATGCTATTCACGAATCCACTCAAATTTTCTGTAAGATATTCTTTAACTTCACAGACAGATTTTTCTACTGTTTTCATATTTGATTACTAGAACAGCTTGGGGAAATCTAACCATATTTCTGTATTCTGAGGTTCTGAGAAAATACTGAAATAAAAAGGGCAACAGAGTTATGTGGCTGGAGGCTCTTGACACTTACAAGGCTAGGCACAGGAAGCATTCCACTTGAGAGCAATGCAAAAGCAGTGACAACTCATTTATGTCACACTGAAAGCTTCTTTGGGTCAAGCCAAGGATGGCCCTCCTTGTAAGATAAAGAGTAGTATCAACAAATATTTCAGGGTGCTTTTCCTCCTCCATGCTGACAAGGAAAGCTTAGTACCTCTAAATACAATTTACAAAAGCACAGTGGTTGAAATTGTTCAAAAATCATAGAATGTTTTGGGTTGGAAGGGACCTTAAAGACTTAATTCCAACCCCACTGCTGTGCAGGGACACCTTTCACTAGACCAGGTTGCTTGACACCCCATCCAAACTGGCCTTGAACACTCCCAGGGATGCAGCATTACACCATTCTTGATGAAATGGTGCACAGCTATGGGAGCTGGGACCACACACTGGCATCGCTTTGAGTCATAGAATTATTACTCAGAGTCTCTTAGCTCTTCTCTTTGTGCCTTAACAGTAAATCTGTGCTTCTAATTACTGCTTTTAAGCACCCTGGTACCACTGAAGATTGAATACCTAAATTCAAGAGGCACCTTTGGCCATTTTAAACTCCCAAGAAAAAGTGGTACATTAACTCAGCATGTTGTCTGTGCAAATCTGGACTACTGCATCCCAATTCCACACATACCCAGCTTTGTGCTGGAAAGAGCTCTCCTTCACTATTGTATGCATAGAGTCAGAGAGTATCCTGAGTTGGAAGGCACTAACAGGGATCATCAAGTCCAGTTCCTGGCCCTGCACAGAACCATCCTCGCGAGTCACACCATGTGCCTGAGAGCATTATCCAAACGCTTCTTGAATTCTGTCAAGCTTGGTGCTGTGAACACTTCCCTGGGGAGCATGTTCCAGCACCCAAACAGCCTCTGGGGCAAGAATCTTTTTCTAATATTCAACCTAAACCACCCCTGACACAGCTTCAGGCCATTCCCTCGGGTCCTGTCACTGGTCACCACAGAGCAGAGTTCAGTACCCATCCCTCCTCTTCCCCTTGCAATGAAGCTCTGTACTGCAATTCGGTCTCCCCTCAGTCTCCTCCAGGCTGAACAGACCAAGTGTCCTCAGCTGCTCATGGCTTCCCCTCAAGGCCCTTCATCATCATCATAGCTCTCCTCTGGATGCTCTGGAATAGCTTTTTATCTT